GGGCCGGCTCTCAGGGCCCCGGTCCCTTGGGGGCCGGCCTGGTAGCAGGGGTGATGCCCGCTCCAAGTCTAAGCGGCGAATGGAGGCCTCGCCTGTGTCCATGGGCTCAGTGGGCCCTGTCCGGGGACTTTCTTTGTCCTTCCGTTCTCCGCCTTGGTCTGCGTTGTCTCCTGCATCCGTGGTCACAGGCCGGTGGTTGAGGGGGCCCATTTTGCCCCCAGGCTCGGGCCCTGAGCCATCAGGCAGAGAAGCCTTCTTGGGGTTGGGGAGACCCTCCTGACCATCCTCGGGACTGGACTTGTGTGAGATGTCACTAGTCATCCTGGCTCCAGGGATGCCACAGGCCTTGGGCCCTGAGCGTTCTGACCCCTATGAGGAAACCAAAGAGAAGACTTTGGTGTCTTCACTCAACAAAACATCTCTGGGCCTCTCCCATCCCACATCCCACACCCTTCCAGCTTTTGCACATCTGCCAGCTGGCCAGGGTTGTGCCTCAGTTATGAAAGACACAGTGAGCTGCCTAAGGAAGGCACTCCTCCCGTGTCTCCAGTTGCCCCACCACCTTCTCAGGTAGTGAGGAGCTGACAGGACTCTCAAGGTGGCAAGGCATTGCTTCTGAGTAGCAGGCTTGGCCTACTAGGGATGGCACCGTCCAGTTCTGCTTTGACCCCACGATGTAAACCTTGGGAGTTTTATGGGAAGGTGACCTGCCTGGGGCCACCAAGTGTGCTGGCTGTAGAGTTCTTGGCCCCTAATGGATGAGCCCCTGCACCAAGCCAGCCCTACCAGGAACAGACTCTGGAGCCAGCAGTCCTGGCTCAGCTCTCAGCAGCCCTGCCCATTAGGCAGGTTATTTAACCTCCTGGGCTTCTGGGTGCTCAGCTATGAGATGTGGGAAATGCTGCATCTGCCTTGGAGGATGAAAAGGGATAGTGCACATACACAGTGCTATCACAGGCCTTGGTCAGCATGCCAGGGGGAGGGCTTGAGTGGGAACACCACTTGGGAGCTCAGCTCAGTCTATGGAGTCACAATGATTTGTAAAAATCACCAGGTGCAGCCATGCCTCACTGAGGGCTTGTGCATTTGTTGCCACAGCTAACCTTCCCGCCTGGGGGAGGAAGGAAGGGTGCTACCTTATAGGTAGGGACACAGGGCCTGTCAAAGGGTGTGCTAGTGATGGGCTCAAGCTACCACACAGGAAGGGACTGGGATTGTGCTCGTGGGCTGTGGAGGAGAGAGGGGAGGTGGGCTGAATACCTCTGTGAGCTCGCTCAGTGTGTCCTCCAGAACCTTCACAGTGAGGATGAAGGCCCGCTGTGCCAGGACCTGGCGGTCAGCATCTCGCAGATACTTCCTGCGGTCATATGGGGTAGCCAGAGAGGATGGTAGGGTGTCAGACACCATAAACTACTGGATTGTAGCCTCCATCCCGTCTCCACCCAAGAATGCCTGTTTATCCCTAGTGTCCCACCTGTGCATCTGCTGGGGCTGCTCCTCAGGATCCCCATCCCTCCACACCAGCAGGCCTCTGATCTGGCACTGCCTGCTGCCCTGGGTCTACCCTGCCTGCTGGGCTCAGTGAAGAGGCAGTGCTTATAGCTGCTCTCCTTCAGGGCTCTCTCCAGTGTGCTCCAGGCCACAGCGGGGGCCCCTGAGTTGCTGGCATAGCGTAGGTGAATGGGGCCATGAGGTAAGGCAGTGCAGACATGGAAGGCTAGCTGGCCTGTTTCCCTCTGAGCTGCATCTCTCCCGGGATCTCCCACAACCCTCATGAACAGCAGCTGTAGTAACTGGTCTCTGTTCTGTCCTCTCTGGCAGAGGGTTTACCTGAGGCCCCCCACTGTTATGGGCCCTTGTGTGGGGTACCACGGCCATCATTTGGACAGGCTTTCCCTACAACCTAACAGCATCTCAGAGCCCTGAGTTGGGGAACAGGCAGAAAGGGCTTGGTTGTCCAGAGTCTCGACAGAGAATCAGGACCAGCAGAGAGAGCCCATGTCTGCTCCAGGATGCCTGGGGGCAGAAGGGTGTCACTTAGGTTCTAGACACTAAGTCAGAGAGGCCCCTAAGGAGAAAAAAGCGCTGGTCTGGGCTCCCGTGCGCAGCAGTGGAGAGCCTGCCCTGGGTGGTGCACAGCTCTACTTCCTCACTGTGGGGGTGGGGATGGTGGCTGCACTCACTTGCCCTGGTCTGGGGTCCGCTGCAGCATGGAGGACACCTTCAGCAGGGTGCTGTGGTCCCGAAGCTGGGCCAGCACCTTGAGCAGCAGCACGATGGAGCGGTTCATGTGCCAGGCAAAGCTGCCTGGCCGGTCGATCTCATCCACGGGGATCCGCCAGATGCCCTGTGGGATGGATGGGGCAGGCACGTGAGGGGGCTGCAGTGGCCGGAACCTCAGGGCCACCCCTGTCTGGAGTCCCCTGGAAACTGCCACAGTGCCAAAAGGGACACTACCCAACCAGGGGCTTCTTGGACCCTCTTACTGTCCCAAGGAAGACAGGAGTGTGCTCATTCCCTCTATTTCCTCCTCATAAATGGCAGTAAGTGACACATCCACTGTTCTGCAGCCTCCTCCTTTGTATGACTGTGTCACACATGCTTATTGGACATTTAGGTCAAGCCTGACCAATGTGAGGACAGGCAGTAAGAAGCCCAGTAGATCCCACCTCTGCACAGGTGCTGCCCCAGCTTAGGAAACATAGGACAGTCTCCTAGAGGGGACCTGCTAGGTTAGAAGGGGACTGAGGGAAGCTCTAGCAAGGCCCATCCTTGTGCATATTCTCTAGCAGCACCCAGAGAGTCATCTACAGCTCCTGGGATGCTGGGGTCCCCTCCTTCTCCCCACATGTTGCCACCCTGCCCCACACCTCTGTGAAGACTGAACCAGGACTCTCTGGAGAGGCCTCTGCCCCCAGTTTAACTGGTGTGGCACTGGATGCCCCTATCACTAGCTCCGGAGTCTGGTTCCCTGCAATGTCCTAGTGACCAGCATGGGAAACTGAGGGAGTGATGAGTAACCAGACATTAAGGAGGTCTATTTCCGGGGTGGGGCTTCAGGGGCCTGGAATGAGCTGGCAGGCTCCCAAATGAGTCCCTGCAGCTGACACCCTGGGGAAACTCTAGCCTAGAATGGACCAAGGCTATGAGTGACATGGCCTCCCGCTTGGCATGGGGCCTAGTCTGCGTCATGCTACAGTGTGAATCTGGGGACCTGGGCCAGCAGCCACGAGGACCACAGCAAGATGTCCAGGTAGGCTCTGTCCCCATGGGTCCTTGCTGACTGTCCACGGCACCTGCTCAGATGCATGGGCCCATCTTGTTCCAACTGCCCTGGGAGGGAAACTGGGGAACATCTAGCCTTGAGCTTTTAAGATGGAGAGGAGCTTAAGACCCTCAGCCTTGAGCCCCTGTGGCTTCCACACTGGCTCTCAGTGACACAGAGAGGCCACCAGGCAGACTGGGAGGCTGTGTGGAGGCCAGCAGCTACCTTCCATCCCTGGGCAGTGCTCAACAAGGACAAATCCAGTAGCCTGAGGCCATCCACACTTGGCCAGCAAATACCGGTGCTGCCTTTTCCTGCCATGTGGATGTGGCGCCATAGCAGCTCATGATAACCTGCTGCTTGGGAGGTATGATAGTGCCCTCAAGAAGCTGTCCCATCTCTGTGGCGAGGCAAGGATTCCAGGCCCTGGCACTCTGCTCCTCTGCTCCTAACGTGCAAGGCTCAGGTGTGACAGCTAAGAAGGTGCTGTCCCTGAAACCCAGCAGGCCAGTACTGTGGGGCCAGAGCTCAGAAACATGGAGCAACTTGCCTAGAGGCATACAATCTTGAGGGGCAGCTCAGGGTTGGTCCCTTACCACACCATGGCACACTAAGATGACAACGAACTTAGTGAGGGAAGCCTCCATGGCTAGCTGCCACAGCTCTTCTCCACATGGCACAGGAGGGGAAAAGCCCTGGCCATATGCCAAGTCGGGGAGCTGGGAGTGATCTGTATTTCACTTTTCCATGGGACATGGAGGGAAACAGGAACACTCTGCTCCAAATGGCCAACTGAGAGGGTGAAGAACGACCCTAGATTTCACTGAATTCCCCCATTTTCCCAGCAGAGCCTCTAAAGTCTCAAAGGCCAGGCCAGAGGTCACTATTCCCAGTGTACCCCCATCTAGGGGTCAGAGCCTTCAAGCAGCTGGAGGGTGAGAGGGCCCACTTGCCCTTCTTGGGGAGCTACCAAGGAAGAATGAATGCAAGAACCATTTGTTCCTCCAAATTGCATTTGACGATGTGTGTGTGAGGAGAGGGAGCTAACATTTTGCCTAGAGACCAGGGAAGCAGCCTGCTCCTTCTGCGGGCATAGGCAGGCTGGGGAAGGGCAGAGACAGGGTCAGACTTGCAGACATCATGCCAATGCCTCGAGAGTCTCCCAGCACTTGGCCAGGCAGACTGAGGTGCCAGAGCCCCAGGGCCTGTCTCCCAACACCTCACCAGGTAGACGCCCACCTTGGCTGCATATCAGGGGAGAGGTGAATTTTGGTTAATTAGAAAAGGTCCCTTATTCATACCATGCTGGTTGGCCCTTCCACCTCTTCTCTCTCACTCTGACACCCAACACTCCCTAGCACCTTCTGGCCTAACACATGCCATGAATTTCATGCCTGTGAGTCTTTTCTAATTCCCTTCCACCTCTATCCAGCCAACTCTTCTGTGTCCTCCTTGGCCTGGCTATGGTGTCACCTTCCTGAAGCTCTCCTGGCTTGTTGCCCTCCTGGCTTGCCACCCTCCTGACTCCTGCTGAGACCATTCAAGCTTAGCCCCTCAGAAGACTGGGGGTTGGGCCTGTTGCTGGCAGTGTGTCCTGGCTGGGTGTGGGTCTGCTTCATCTCAGGGTTCCCAGGGCCCTGACATAAACCTGGCAGAGCAGGTGAGGTACCCAGCTTGAGAAGGATTTTCTGTTTCCTGGAAGGGCACAGGCTCACAGAAGCCTCCACCTGATGGCCCCTCACCCTGGATATCTCCATGTTCAAGTGGGAGACAATTCTGCTCACAGCAAACCGAATGCTCTTCAGAGCTCCGGGTATTCAGGGGAGCCTCACCTTGCAGTGAGGCCTGCAGGGAAAATGAACAGCACCCACCGGCACCACAAGGCAGCACCACTGTAGCAGTAGGCTGTGCTTGCAGAACACAGGTTCATCTGGCCAGGCTCCTGGGTCCGGTAAGAGCCAGCTCACTTCTCCCCCAAGGAAAGAGGAATGAGAAGGTGTTGCCAGAGATAAAACCACGCCTGGCCCTCTGCAGGGTGGGCCAGACAGGCACAGCAGACTTGGATGATGGTGAGGGACTTAGATGATGGCAGGGCCCCTGTGGAGAGAAATTCCAAACTCCTGCTCTGAGGTTCAGGGAGGGAAGACACAGTGAGTGCATTTACCTCCTTTTTTGGGTGGAAGGGACATCCCACAATAAGCCAATGAGCACATGAAGAAAATCTCCTGGAGGGCCCACTGTCAGGTCACCTGAAGTGGCTAATCCAGGAGCATGTGGGTCACCTGGCACTTCAGCCCCACTTGGAACTGGATGAGGGCTGGGCGCTGGCCTACCCACACCACTCTGGAGGCAGGAGGTGTCATTGCTTGTTGAGCAATGGGGGATGGGTGGCAAAGCCCCAGATCACCCCAAACCCCTCTTGAGACATCTGGAATATCCCCAGCACTCTGCTCTGGAGAGGGCCGTGCTATCCTGTGCTGGCTGAGCTACACGCCCTGCTCCTCTTGCCTCCTCTGTCCCAGCCCACCGCCACCAGGTGGGAATCCCATCTTAGCCCACCTCTGGGTCAGGCACTTGTTTTGCTTGGGACTGGGGCATGAATGAAGCAGGTTTACCCTCCAGACCTCCTGGCCTGTGGTTGGGGAGAAGAAAGACAGTGCAGCTCTTCCTCCTGGGCAAGGGTAGGGGTGGGAAGGACTACTCTGAATGTCACAGAGAAGGTTCACAGGAGACAGAGCAGTTGACAGCAACAGCAGCACATTCAACGTAAGAGGAAGAAACCTACACTGCTTCCCAACATACTGAGTCTGTCAGTAATAGATGCCAGTGAGGCAGATCTGGGTCTCTATCCCCTGTGGCAGCATGGTGGCTAAGGGCCCTGACATCCTCACGACCCCCAGAGCCCCAGAAATCAACACACACACCCACGAGGACAGGTCTAGTCTGCACCACACACACTAGTGTGCGGGCTAGGTCCTCCCTTCCACTTCCTTTTGTAACATAACACCACTGATTTCAGAAAGGATGGAAGACCAGACAAATCCGGCAGCAAGTCCACAGAAAACCAGAAGGAGCTGCCACTGCCTGGCCACCCCCACGCTATCGTGACTCTCAGAACTTCCCCACCAGTCCTCGGAGGCTTGCAAGGCAGTATTTTACATGGGCATACGCTCCTGTTTCATACTGGCATCTTGCTCGGCCTTCTCCTGATGGTGCCAGTGCCGACAGGCACATTTCCTAGGTGGGGGCTGGCTGGCTCACATGCCCTCATTCATCTTGACACCATTTATTCACTCACATGCTCCAGTGCGGGGGCTCCAGTCTTTGACTACCAAGCACTTGGCACTGTCCCCTGTCCCTTCTCTGATGGGCCTGCCCCTTCCCCTCCCCAACCCCAGGGCTGGGCTTTGGGTCTGCTCAGCCAGGCCTGTGACATACCCGCCAGTCATGAACAATTAGCCAGCAGGTAGGCCCAGGATCCCAGACAGGTTCCCTTCCTAACAGGAGTCCTTAGGGACACCCCTCCTCTCTGTGGTAGGGGCTGTGTGATGGACATAAGTGGGGGGGAGGGGCTGTGTGATGGACATAAGCGCACGGGGGGGGGCTGTGTCTGTGGCCACGAGGCTGGCCTCAAGGGTAAAGCCACCAGGTGGTCTCAAGCCAGCTGAGTGGTGAGCAAGCCAACAGCTCCACTTTCCACCCAAGGGAGGTAGAGTCCCAGGAGGACTTGGACACAGCCGGTTCTCCACAGGGAGGAGTTAAAGCAGCCCTATCCCTCTACTATCCCTCTCACACGGTGCCTGCGGAGGGCCTCCTGGTATGTGGACAGGAACTGCTCTGCCAGGTTTTCTTCACCACAGCCCCACATGGGAGGGAGGGGCACAGCCAGGCTCCACCTGTAGCAGCAGAGGCCCCAATGCACCCACCCTAAGGAGCACAGGTGTGGGCCTCAGGGAGGGCATGGGGAATATACCAGGGGTGAGCTGGGAGAGCTAAGCCAGGGCCTGACGAGAAGGGTGTAGGCAGCAGTGCTGGAGGAGGCTGGCTGAGGATAGCAGGGAGACAGCACCGGGGCCAACACT